AATCGGCACGAATATCGACAGTTATCAAAGTCAATGGGATTTCTACGAACAATCAACGGAAGAAGTGTAGCTCCTTAGTTGGTTTAGCTTGCTCGAACCCTTAGTAACAACAACTAAAATTCAAAAAAAAACTCATTATCACGTGAAGGGAGACCTGCTAAGTACACACACTATGTTGGAATGCGGTGTGCCAAAAAAGAGCTTCAAGAGAGTTTCTTCACATGACACAAAAGTTGGCATTTCAGCCACAAGTGAATAAGCTTTCCATCCGAAAAAATAACGGAAGGAATCAGAAGAAGGTATGAAAGAACTCCTTCCAATTATTACAGTTGACGTTTCAACACTGACCACGCCCTTGTAGACGTTCATAAGCTTCCAACCGTTGCCATGCCTATATATAAATAGTAATCCATTTACTCGGTTTAGACAGTTTTCAAAGATGCACGGTTCATGCTGATATCAGACTTGAAGAAGTTTCTACAGTAGGCTTGAAAATGCAGTATTTATCAAGGAAAAGTGGCCATCATCATTATGGGATCAAATGTTCTCTGACAGTTCGTCGGTAACAAACCGACGCTACACACGTCAATACAGTAAGTACTCATAATGCAGCGAGTTGCGAGTAGTCTCCTTTGAGAAGCAAAGAATAAGTGGAAATTGTTCACCAAACTGATGGCAAGATAACTCTACGCAAAAAAAGTATGAAAGGAGATTTTCGTGTTCAAAGTTTTCCTAATCCAGTGCAAAACTTATGATAAAAACTATTAAACAGAGGTAAAAAGGGCCAGAGAGGTTAGCCACTCCATTGAGCTCAGCTTCTCTATAGTCAAGGTTACCTCTAGTGGTAAGGATCTTTTTTTTCAGTGCAAATTGGTGGTCGATACTTTGACGCATGACTTTGACCCACGCCAACACATTCAAAAACGCGTCAAATATCCCTTCTTCGCTTTAGACGGGACTGAGACCTTAGAAGTGGGAGGATCTCCAAGTTTCTTGACTATTTGTATCTTTTTCGGAGTTCCTGCTCCCTTTCTAGGCTCAGTCCTCACCCGGTAAGGCGCCTAATCTTACTGAGTTCCCGGAAAAGCGAAACAGTACAAAATAAACGATCCCAGCGAGCGAACTAACCTGTGGCGAGTCCACCAGTCTTTGCAGCCTCCTCTTCTTGTTAGTGAGCGAATAAAATGAGACACCATGGACAGTAAGCGTCCTACGTGTCGTATGTGGTGATCTCACAGTCCACATAAAGGAATGAAAGGCAAGAATTCATTGGTAATGGCCATGCATTCATTACGGTTGTTCAGTCTTGGATTTTTCACGCGGATATAAAACGCCTCTAACATTTTTCTAGCACCGATGTCGTTTTCGTAGGCTAGAATTTTGCATTTGATTTCAAAATCATTACCCTGATGTCCCTTCTACTCGGTGCTTGCCAAGTGGAGTAAGCAGATTTCCGCGCCTTTTTCCTGCCATATGTTCTTTAATGCGTACGCCTAGCATCCTGCCCGTCTCTCCAATATAAAGTTCGTCACAGGTTGAACATTGAAGTTGGTATACTATCCCTCGTTGCGCACAGTCTCCTTGCCTTCCATATGGGCAAACAACGCAGTGATTCGTGGTGCACGCGCGGTCATAGAGTCTATTGCGGATTAGCTGACGTTAAGATTGTCTCCTGGTATATTAATCAAAACGACTTCATCAGCTAGATCCGCTCGTGCAATGCACTGCCGTATAGCCATGCTAATTCTATCCGATATGAAAGGCAATTGGAGGTGCGCCATCTCTTCGCGACTTCTCGCGGAACGCCCTCGTGAACCTTCGCGATTTCTCGCGGGATTTCTCTGTGAGCCTGATTCTTCGTTCCTCGTTCCATAGCCATTCGCTCTTGCAATCTCGGAAGCTAGCCTTCGTGACTCATCTCGCTCCACGTCGCCTGTACAACTCCAACTGCTGTTCTGTACATGTTTCGAACAACCGCACATTTTACAGCTCTGGGGTGTGCAGACTTCGCATGGAGTAGGATGTTCTTTGAGCTGCTTTTTCCGTACCACTTCACACTATACGTTCCATTCGAGATTTTTATCTGTGTGTTCAAGTAAGGTAGCCAACCATTGTGTGGAGCTTCTCTTGTGAACTTTATGTACTGTGATTGTTGATTGAGTATGCTGAATAATTCATCCATTTCAAATTGTGTTGAAGTAATTACGCAGCAGTCATCAATATATCGGCAGTACATAATGGGCATGCGTGCTATCACCGGTTGTTCTATTCTGCCCATAAAGCAGATAGCTAGACCGGTGCTAGACGTTGCCCCATTGCAAGCCCCCGTTTTGTGAGAAGTATGTCCACACCACTTGAAAATGTTACAGTTCAGGCATTCCTTAATCAGAGTCATAATGTGCACTTTGCTCAATCCAAACGTTACGATTTCTGCACCATGCTCATCTAACATTTCAGAGAGCGCTTGCAAAGCTTCATTATTGTTCACGTTTGTATAAAGCGCAGTTACATCGAAACTACCACACAGTTTTCTTGAAATCTACAAGAACGTAGGCGATTAAGAAAATCTCTGGTGTTAG